TAGACCCCTTTAGCAACATTTAATCAACAAATGTTGCCTTTTGCGTGCTGCAAAAGGCCATTTTTGGTGTAGTGCAACTATAATTCCATTTTCCTAATTGTAACATAAATCATTTTTCTTATTTAAGTCTTACAACCAAGTGACCGGATCAAATAAAGTTTCCTTCTTCAATACAAATTTTCTAAAAATTACTATCTTGATCTCTTAATTTCATTTGTCTATTTTGAGTCAATCTCAATAATCTTCGCCTTGGCTCAAATGCTACAAAACACGACACACCGGATAAATATTTCTGCACCCCTTTATTGGTAGGTGAAACCTTTTCTGGATCAATAGTCATAGACATGAATCGAGTTCAAAGACTTCGTAAATGTTACTCTTAAATTTGACATCTTTGAACTTCGATCTTCATTCTTGTTGACATTAGCCACATAACCCATCTTCACTACCAAAAAAAAAAAACCATCTTGAATACTTCATAATACTTGACAACAAAGACAATCTTCTACATGATTCGATAACAATATTCCATATTTATGTGACTCAATTACTACAGTTCCATCCCAATATCACTCAATTGGTGTAACTTGGTCACATCGCAGCTCTACCTTAGTGCTAGCCTATCACTACAAATCCATTTCAAGCTTTAATCTTGTTATCATCTTCAACACAATGCCAATTGGTATGTGTTCGCTTGAAAATATACCGCAAGTGCACGGGTCGCGTACAAGTAATAAAGTTGACTTTTTGAGTCCGGATTGTCGATCCCTCGAGAAATGTTACTTTAGATTACACGACTTTAATCAATTTAATTCTAACAATCAAATGAAACACACACAATTAAACATGAGATTTGGAAAGCGGTAAATAAATTAAAAATCTACAAAATAAGAAAAACACAAATANTTACCGCAAGTGCTCGGGTCGCGTACATGTAATATAGTGGACTTTTTGAGTCCGGATTGTCGATCCCTCGAGGAATGTTACTTTAGATTTCACGACTTTAATCAATTTAATTCTAACAATCTAATGAAACAAACACAATTAAACATGAGATTTGTGCAATCCACACTTCCTAGCAACTCTAGGCTCTTTTTTTTTTGGATCACCAAGAATGAACTCATTCCGGAGCACCAAAACTCTAGCTGCCTCTTCTCCAACTTTAGAACTCTGAAGTCTTATATGCGAAGGTAAGGATTTTTGGTACTTAGATCTTGTGTATTGATCTTATGGTTAAACTAAGAGATTGCTGGAATTAAAGTTTGATCTCTGTAGAATGTACTCTTAAATGAAAAAAAGGCTCAACCAAATGAGCAGAGATTGTTTAGGACGAAATATGGCTTGAATATTTATAATATAGAGTGTTTGAGGTGGTTTAGTACTTAAAACAATAGAATTCGCGATCTAGAGTTTCACCATAAAATACCAAACCTCGAGCAGACCAGTTGCGACTGTCGAGTGGTGACTCCACCACTCGAGTGAAAAGGCCGCAGTTAATGAGTGACCAAGGTCCTTCTTTGGGCACTCAAGCAAGAGTAGTGTGGTTAGCAAGCAGTTTTGTAGCATGTGTCTCCTTGTTCCATCTTTGTATCATTCAACACCTATACTACTAATCCTTAACTCTTTGACTTCTATTACAACTTAAATAACAATAATTTTCTATACGGATATAGCCAATTACAATTGGACCTAACAAACTCTCTCTTTGGCATTTCATGAAAAATAATTTATTTCAAAATTAAAATCAAAATCAACTTAACAACAGTTTACCCAAAGACTCATATCCTAAACTTCAACTCAAATTTTATCATAGCTATTTCTTGAAACACATGGAAACAACAATACCATATGTAAAAGCAAGAGAAAGCTCAACAAAGCATATAACTAAGTTATCTAAACAAGTAAACCATATGTAACATCAAAGCATGTAATATTACATCATCAATAATTTAGAATCTAAACGATGACAAGTTGAGATATATAGATGAACTAACAAAACAAAGTATGATATCAACATTATACAAAACACACAACATAACATCAATATGGAATCAATTCATGCTAGTCAGGTCTTCAATCTGTTGACCTATGGTTGATTTCATCTTTAATGTTTTGATCATAACAAACAAGATTAATATTATTTCTAACAATTGAATTTGAGTGTGATAATTCAATGTTGAAATCAATCAAGCATTGCCAAAATCAACACATCATAAATGGGACTTGAAATGAAGATCAAAGTGAAAGCTAAGCATTCAAGTCAAATCATTCAAGACGAGAGCTTAAAAGATCAAAATCAAACTATCAAATCGGGCTTATGAAGAAAGTCAAGATCAAAGTCAAGCGTTAAAGCCAAACGTCAAGAAAGATCAAGATCAAGAGTTTAAGAGCCAGGCAGGAAAGAAACTTCAAAGCAAGATCAAAAACTAGGCTTTCGAAATCATATGTAAAGATATAACGCTTTAATCTTTAGTAATGACAATAGCTCAAAACTCATTTTGTGCACGAAGAGTTA